GCGCAGGCCTGCTGTGCTTCGGCATGGTGTCTTGGGTCTGCTCTGGCTGAGGCTGCTCGGTGGGGGTGGCTTGCGAGGGCCTTCGGGGCTCTGGCGGGGCCTTCCCGTGGACAGGGGGCGCTTCGGAGGGCTCCTCCGCTGGGCGGCATTGGGAAAGGAGAAGGAAAGAGGGTTACCAACCGCGCCTGCCCCGGGGGGACCTCCAGAGGGCTAGAGTTCCCTGAGAAACTGAGTCATGGTGCATTGCCCCACCGGGATATCCCAGGAGCGGTGTGACAGTTGGGGACAGCCAGCCTCACACCCCCTGCTGCAGCTATGGCCATGCTGCCCTCAGGCCGCCAGGGGAGCTGCAGAGGCCAGTTGGGACCACTGCCCAGGGCGGGTGGACTTTCAGCCTCTCCCATGTGAACATTCTGGGCCCCACCACCAACACTGCCTGGTGTCACTGCATGCTGACATCAGAGATGCATCACCAGGACGTGATGTCACCGACCTCTTCCCGGCTGTGAAACAAACTGGCCTCGGGACTGCCCCTAAGGGACTGCTGTGGAGAACCCAGGGGGCCTTGGGCTGCAGGCGCAGGCCCCAGACCAGAAGGGACACCGGTTCCTCTGCCACACCCTTCAAATCACCAGCAGAGGGGACTTCCAACAAAGGAACCTCCTGATTGACACGGCCCTGCCCGCCCAGGATGGCTGCAGCGACACAGCAGGAAGCCACCGCCCTTTCCTCCTTTGAATGTGTTCCTGGAACGAGCCTTCCAGGAAGCCTTTCCTAACTGCCGCAGGACATCTAAAAATACCAGGCTGGCTGGAGCAGCGGCAAAGCCAAAGGCCACCCACGTCTTCAGTCTGTCTAGTGTCTGCGGTGCCCAAGGTGGCCAAGCTACCAGACTGTGACCTGGCAAAACCAGTGATTGCACTTCTCCCCGTTTTAAACCGCACTAAGGTAGATAGGGCAGACAAAACGCATGCCCCCGCCCACCACAGAGCCACGTTTCCAGACCACTCCAAGAGAAGTGGTTTTTTGAGAGAGATTTTTGCTGTAGGGCATGTGCACTCACCAGAGAGACAGAGACAGAGACAGTGAGAAATCACCACAGAAAGTGAGAAATCACTCCCTCGAGGGGATGGCACGCACACAGGCTTGCGGCATGAGTTTAAGCCGTCTGGTCCAGGACGCAAACTGTATTGCCTTCGTGGGATTTCAGCGACGTAACCATTATGCCATCTGCTGGTCCCCATACAGCCTTACCTAACCAGTGTTCTGTGAAATCATTAAGCCCTGCAGCAAAAGATTTGAATGATATCTTACTCAATTCTCCCAAGGATGGTACAGAGCGAAATCCGTCCTAGATACGGAGTTCATTCATCCTCTACAACTGGATACCATCAGGCCTCCACTGTCTTCAAATCCTTGGTGGTGAAAGGATGGGTTAGATGAGAAAGGCCCGGAGTGGGCACACCAGCCACTGGCAGGCAGGAGTGAAATACACCAGTCTGCAAACGAAGTCCGCACCACAATAGGAGGGCTCACAGCCCCTCTCCCTCGCTCAGCTCCCCTGACGCTTGCTTAGACCTACGGTCGGAGATAGGAAGTGTCTTCTAACTAACCCTATAGTGAAGCCCCCAGTCATGAAGTCCTGTCTAACGGCTCGCTGTTAAAAGTAACCCAAAGTCAAGATCCCCTAAGGTGTGAGAACCAGAGAGAGAAAGGGAAAGTGAGAAAGCAAGCCACCAGGCCTGGGACTCAAACCATGATTGGCCATATGGGAGCCCAGCACCCACAGTTGGCGTCATGGCTATGTCACCACGCCAACTCCTGGAGCCCATCATTTTATCTTCATTGTCACCATCATCAGCTCCATCATTAGTTTTATCATCTTTTTCATCATCATCACCATCATCATCTTCAACCTCACTTTCACTGTCATCAGCCTCCTCTTTCATCATCATGACTATGGTTATCTTCACCACCATCCCCATTCGCATATTCAGCACCATAATTTCCATCATGCTGGTCTTTATCCTTGTTGGATAAAGATGATTTGTCATCGCCAACATCCTCTCCACCATCATCGCTATCATCAACATCAGTATTATTACAACTGTCTGCTGATTAACTTCAGGGTAGGACAAAGGGTATTGATGGTTACTATTTCTGCCTATACTCCAGAGTAACAACTCTGCATCTTCACCTTGGACGTCCATATGGAAAAGCGAAAAGTCATTCTCAGAGATGGCCACGCTGTAATCCCTTCTCCTCCATTCTCCTCTTGGGATTTGGGGCATGCACACACACGTGTCTGGCGTGACTTTCTAGCCACTGGGTCCAAGACTTGAACCGCACAGTCAGCCATGTGGGATCCAGCTCCCTCAACCTCCACACCACCAGTTCGCCCCCACCTGCTCCCTCTAGTGAACCCGGCTAGTCAACAAGCCTGCCTCCCAATATTCCACCCCTTATCCCTAATGGAAATTCTCTCCCTTGTTAAATAGTTTAGAGACAACAGAGCTTAGTGTGTAAGGAGACAGACTTTTGGGTAAAAATACTGGAGTTTGGGGCCAGCAGATGGTATAGCAGTTACGTTGCTAGACTCCCATATGGCCAACCGTGGTTCGAGTCCCAGACGTGGTGGCTTGAAAATCACGCCAGGTACATGTGCATGCATGCCCAAGATTTTGGAGGAAAATGGAGGAAAGGGGATTGTGGTGTGGCCATCCCCCCAGTGGGCGATTTCTCACTTTCCTCTGTCTCTGTCTCTCTCTCTCTTTTCACCAAACGTATATGCCCACACCGTAATCCCTTCTCTTCCATTCTTGTCTTGGGATTTGGGGCACGCATGTACATGTGCACAAGTTTACGCCAATGAATATGGGACTCAAACCGTGGTCAACTACATGGGAATCCAGCAATACAACCATTATGCCATCTGCTGGTCCCTCCACCTTCTCTTGGGCAGTGCATTACCACACACCAGGGAGCCTGCCCAGACAGGCAGTTTTAATACAAAAATAATTGCTCTTAAGCACTCTTTCTTAAAACCTATTGAAGAAGGTATTCCACTAAAACAAACGATTAAACTATGGAGAAAGTGCAAAGGATGAAGAAAAGGGTCTAACACAGGAAAGAGGCGAAGCCTTTCTAGGCTAACAGTGAAGACAGATTCAGGTTAAAACTTTCCCAGAGGTCTGAAGAAACTAGTCCAGATTGGATGAGGAAGAGAGAGAACTCCAGGAGGGAAGTCACCAATTTCAAAAAAATTGATCAGCAAATAATCTGATACTTCCTATGGTGTTAAAAATTGTATTGCAGAGCAACCAGCAGTTAGCGTAATGGCTATGTCGCTGGATTCCCATGTAGTTGACCACGGTTCGCGTCCCGGACCCGGTGGCTTAAAACTCACGCCGGGCGCGTGTGCGTGCGTGCCCAAGATCCCGAGAGGAGAATGGAGGAGAAGGGATTGTGGCGTGACCATCCCCCCCCGGGGGGGGGTGATTTCTCACTTTCTCTCTCTCTGTATCTCTCTGTCTGGCGAGCACACATGCCCTATAGCAAAAACCTCTCCAAAAAATGTCTTGCGGGGCCTGCAGGTGGTGTGGTAGTTAAAGGCACTGGACTCCCATATGGCCAACTGTGGTTCAAGTCCCTGACCTGGCAGCTTGCTTTCTGGCTTTGTCTCTTTCTCTCTCTCTCATACTCTGTCCCTCTCTGGTCAAATTTAAATAAATAAAGAAAGTTAAATAAAGTAATTATTTTTAAAAATTGTATTGCAGGGGCCAGCAGGTGGTGTAGTGATTACATTGCTAGACTCTCATATGACCGATCCCGTTCAAGGACTGAACCCAGTGACTTATAAATCACACCAGTTGAGTGCATGCTCAAGATCCCAGGAGAAGGGAGAAGAGATTATGGCATGGTCCTCCCCCTGGGGAGTAATTTCTCATTTTCCCTCTCACAGTCTCAGTCTCTGTCTCTCTCTCTCTCCAACAAGTACATGCACCCTATGGCAAAAACCTCTAAAAAAAAAATTGTATTGGAAGGTTATTGGGGGTTAGAAATATCCCAAAATAGGGGACCAGCAGGTGGTGTGGTGAATAAGGCACTGGACACTCCCACATGGCTGACCACGGTTCAAGTCCTGAATCTGGTGGCTTGCTTTCTTGCTTCCTCTTTCTCTCTCTGTCTCTCTCTCTCTGATCACATTAAAATAAATGAATGAATAAATTAAAAAAAAGAAATATCCCAAAATAGATACACAATAAATGAATGAATAAATTTAAAAAAAGAAATATCCCAAAATAGATACATAAAATGTAAGCAACTGATCATGCAATAATATTACTAATTCAGAGAAAAGCAAAAAGAAAGTAACATAACCGTAAAACACTATTTCATGGAAAATACATATTCAGAAAAAACTGCATGAATTTCAAAGTTTTTCCACCAAAATAACTCATACTTTAATCCTATTTTTTCCACCAACTTTTTTCTTTTTAAGAATTATTTTATTTAACTTTATTTATTTTAACTTGACCACAGAGGGACAGAGCGAGAGAATGAGAGAGAGAGAGAGAGGGAAAGTGAGAAAGCATGCCTCCAGGTCTGGGACTCGAATCACAGTCAGCCATATGAGAATCCAGCGCCTTTAACCACCACATCACCTACTGGCCCCATCCACCAACTTTTTGAAGTTCTCTCACACGGGGAACTGGCTGGAAGGAAAGCTTACAATGTCCCAAAGCTGACTAATCAGTTTAGAAATATGGAGATGGAAATCCAGGAAATAAAACCAGTCAGAAGAGTTTCGTGTGGCGGCCTCTAGGAGGGAGGGGGTAGGGAGGGGGGCAGTGGAGTTAGTTTCGTTTTCAGCTTGTCTGTGCTATTTTGCTTATTTGGATAAAATGCAGTTGCAGAAGACACTCACTAAGGGCCTGCTTCTACCCTTTCCCCCAATCCCAGCATGCCCTGGTCTATTCCTCATCTGCTTCCTCCTCCCTCTTGACACCAGCTCAGAAGTTGGCCTTCCTCCCGGGGCGCACCCTCTGCCTGAGCTGGAGCGGGAGCCCATTCCCTCCTCCTCTTGGGCCTGCTCCAGCCGACATCACTCCTCCTCTCAAGCTCTTTCCTTCCTTCCT